CGCGCGCGCGCTTCAATCCACAGTGTCCCGTTCTGCCTGCCTGCCTGCCTGCCTTAGTTTCTGGTTGTTTGGGAGCAGCTTCGGCTGAGAATAATAACTATTCGCCTCTTTTACTCAGCCGAAGCTGTTCCGATTCAACCATTAACGAAGGCAGGCAGGCAGGCAGAACGGAGCACTGGGTTGAACCCCGCGCGCGGGCGGGCGGACGGGGTGGGGGTGGGGGAGAAACGGGCGCTTCGGAGGCGCTGCGGCGACAGGAAAAGCCCCCCCCCCGCTTCTTTGAAGCAGTTTCTTCCTGGGCTGGTGGAGGAGCGAGAGAGCGACTGAGAGAGCTGACCCAGAGAGAAGGACAGGCTTCGGTTGCTTCCTCCCTCCCCTTCTTTCATTTGTGTCCTTGATCCCCGATCCCAGCAGCATTCACCAAAGGTGAAGAAAGCCGCCATTTTTTTAAAAAAAAAATTCTTTGCGGCCCGGTAGAGAGTGCTCCACGGCCCGGTACCGGTCCGCGGCCCGGTGGTTGGGGACCCCTGCCCTAGTTGCATTAACAGAGGGATACAATCAAGAGAGGTACTAATACCACTCTATAAAGCCTTAGTAAGACCACACCTAGAGCACTGCATCCAGTTTTGTTCACCACATTATAAAAAAGATGTTGAGACTCTAGAAGAAGTACAGAGAAAAGCAACCAGGATGATTATGGAGGCTAAAACATACGATGAACGGTTGCAGGAACTGGGCCTGGCTAGTCTAGTGAAGAGAACCAGGGGAGACAGGATAGCTGTCTTCCAATATCTGAGGGGCTGCCACAGAGAGGAGGGGGTACGTCAAGCTATTCTCCAAGGCACCTGAAGGCCAGACAAGGAATAATGGATGGAAACTGAACAAGGAGAGATTCAACCTGGAAATAAGGAGAAACTTTCTGACAGTGAGAACCATCAACCAATGGAGCAGAAGTTGCCCTCGGAAGTTGTGGGAGCATCATCACTTGAGACTTTCAAGAAGAGATTGGACTGCCATTTGTCAGAAATGGTGTAGGGTCTCCCGCTTGGGCGGGGGGTTGGACTAGATGACCTACAAGGTCCCTTCCGACTCTGTTAATCTAATTTAAATCTAATGTGCAAAGTAAATTCATACAGCTGGCAGGACCATCACAAACGTTTAGCCTTGAGAGGTATGGAAGTAACATATAATAATAATTATCTGTTATCAAAATCCCCATTCCCTCCCCACCCCACTAACCTGCTTTCCACCTCCGTTCTCATGTGCAGGACAACCAAAGGAGACCCAGCCGATCATCTGGGACTCAATGGGAGGCAGAGAATAGATGGGGTTGGTGGGGCCAGTCAGAGGTGGGATTTGCTGGTTCTCCAAACTACTCAACATTTCCGCTACTGGTTCTCCAGAATTGGTCAGAACCGGCTGAATACTTACCTCTGCTGTACATGCCTGCTTCATCTTGAGGTATGGCAATTTCAACCAAAAGCTTGTGAATGAATTGTCCATTGTTGAAGATCCATCCTGAGTTTTCCTGGGTTTTATTCCACCCAGGCAAAATTTAGTGATTGTTTTCAAGCTATCCAAGAGTTGAGTTGTTTAATGTGTAACTATCACCAGAACAGCGCCAAAGTTGTTGTTGAAACATCAGCACATTTTACACTTCTCGGAGTACAAGAGGGCACGCATCTGTCCTGCTGAGCACATGATCTAAAATTATGGGATTGTGGTGGTTTGCAGGGTTTTCAGTTTTTAAAGGAGATTGCAAGGACCACTGGAATTCCACTTTATTGTTATAGCTTAAAATAACTGTAATTATTTTCTTTCTTATTTTCTTCTTCTTGGTTCTGAGGGTAACCTGGGAAGAGGCTGATTTTGCTGGAAGTTATTTACCATGGATATGGGTAGGATTATTGTCAGCATTGGGAAAAGAATTAGACCCACTAAAGAGGGATTAAGGAACAACTGGTTCCCCTAGAAAAAAGGAGCCAGACAACAAAACTGTGGGGTCTGGTTTGTGATCTCCTGTAGATGTGGAAGGAAATAGAGTGGAAAGAATCACGGGGTGTTTTGTTGGTTGAGAAGAAAAGCTGCACATTGTGATAGCAAAGGTGCAACCAATTGACCTTCTGGTGCATTCAACTGAAATAGGTAGTGTCGGGTAATTGATTAACTCAACAGGTTTGTGTCTCCTACAGATCTTTGTGGCCCATGGACAGAGGCACTCTACCTAGAACTGGGATTATAGGTTTGAAGCAGTGCTGGGGGGAGGGAGGTTGGGAAGGACAGGGGTATGACCAGGGCTGTTCTGACAACAGGAAGATGCTCTGGGGTGCTACTTGCCAAGCTGACAGTGGATCGTGTCTTCCAGAACACACCAAGGTAGCAGATTCAGAACCCCAAGACGATGGATGAAGTCAAGATTTCACCTAAAAACAGCGATAATGGCTTGGCAAACCCAGCATTTGAGGCTACAGTAAGTTTTTCTTCTCCTCCTTAGCTTAGTCCTTCACCCTTTCCCCAAAGTTGGTGATGGGGTTTGTGTTTTTGGTAGGAATCAGACACCAATGGAATGGGCAAAGTCAAGATTTCATCTAAAAACAGTCATAAGGGCTTGGCAAACCCAGCATTTGAGCTTATGGTAAGTTTTTCTCCTCCTCCTTAACTTTGTCCTGTCCAAATATGGTGATGGGGTTTGTGTTTTTGGCAGGAATCAGAGACAAACGGAGTGAAGGAGGTCAAG